AAAACAAAACTACTTTTCATCTCTTTATTCAAAATCTATTTAGACCTTGAGAAAGTACCTTTCCTTCAAGTCTTCGCTTATTAAATGAATCACACAAAGGTTGAGATTTTCCCCCTTCTGTTATTTATTAACAGGTAAAACAAACTGTTTAAGGGGAACACAGTCCCATTTATTAGAACTGCCATTGTAGAACAGAAATGTTACTGATTCATTAAAAGAAACATTTTAAATCACACAGGATTCCTAAAGAACTCCAATCTATTAAAATCAGTCAATAAGCATTTAGCAAGAACTCAGTAATGAGTTCCTATCTTCTAGGATGGTTATAATTCTAAAAACAAGAAATAAGCACAATTGAGGATATGGAGAAACTGGAACTTTCATGCTTTCCTAGTGGGAATATAAAATGGTACAACCACTAATGAAAATGGTTAGCAATTCCAAACTAAAGAAAAACACTAAACATACAATTATCACATGAACCAGAAATTCCACTCCTAGGAATATACCCAAAGGAAATGCAAACAAGGACTCAAAGCATTTAAGCCCATGTTCGCTATAGTATTATTCGAAATAGCTGAAAAGTGGAAACAACGCACATACCAAGTTTCCATCTACAGATGAATAAACAAAATGTATATATCCATACAATGAAATTTAGTCATAAAAAGTTATTATATTCTGATAATGCCATAATATGACTGAGCCTCTAAGACATAGCAAGGAAAAGCCAGAAACAAAAGGACAGATATTTCAGTATTTAGAATATGCAAATTCACAGAGAGAGAAGGTAGATTACAGAGGCCTTCAGAAGCCAGGGAAGGCAGAACGGAGGTATTGCATAAGGGTTACAGAAAGTGTCAGAACTAGATAGTGGTGATGCTGATGGCTGCACAAACTAGTCAATGCTATTAATCCCACTGAACTATGTATGATTACATTTGTTTAAATGGCAAATATTAAAATATATTTTACCGTAATTTAAAAAACTAATATGATGTATCAACATTGAACTGTATACTTCAAATTATATAGTATGAATTATACAGTATGTGAATTATATCTCAACAAAGCTATTTAAAAAATACTTAGGGGGAGAACTCCACTGGACTTGAGGGTACACTTGTAATTACAGAACATTTAGGTTAATTATAGTTTGAAGAGCAAAGCCTATCACTGTACTAGCCTAAGCAATGTTTAGTTGTGAGGGCAATTTGTAGTGATGTAGTATGTAGCCTGATTGTGTCAAACTCTTCTAGTTTTCATATAATAGTTTATAATCTAGCCCAATAACAACTACTCAAAATTAGAAGAGGATAGCAAACAAACAGCACGTAACAAACTAACACGTCCTAAAAAGTCTACAACCATTTAAAGGGCTTCAGATGGGCAATTTCTCAATACCAGTAAGACAATGCCTGTTAGAGAAGTAATAATCAGGGATTCGTGCATAAGTCTATTGATCTAGAAGGCAAATCACTCTTGTTTATTAAAACAGCATTTCTACTAGACAAAGGCAATTGAGGTTCTCACAGTTGCTGGGAAGAAGCAGAGACGACTTATTCCTACATCTGCTCAGAATCTTTTATGCTGTTCTGTACACTGTGTTTCTTTTTAAAGTTTCCACAAGTCAGAAGTTTTCCCAAAAATCAAAATATAATTTGATACTATGGATTATCAGCGTCCACTCCCATAAACATAGCAATTAAAGAAACTGCCACTACAGGAATTACCAATGTGTGCAAAGTAGGTCAGATAATTTGCTGTCAGATTAAAGAATAGATGGAGTTTCTAATCATGTGGATTAATGGCATCATAAAAAACCTGAAGGGAAGTCTGGGTTTGGGTTATTCTTCACCTAATTTGGGAGTTTTTGCTATAAAAACAAAACATACTGTTATTTACTGTAGGAGACTTGAGTAATCTCTCTGTTACTCAAGTGTTACAACTTAACTCAATCGGAGCATGTTTTTCCAGAAAATTATCAAACTGAAGCATTGTCCAAACATAGAAGAAAGTAAGTGGATTTAAAAACCAGTCATTGTGGGAAAAGACTAATTATTAATACTAATTACTAAACCAGATAAGCAACAAGGACACAGAAATAATAAGAAGGCTCCAAACATGGAGAAATGGTTTATAACGCTGAAAGTTACTGGACTGAGGCTTTAAGTTTCTCAGCAGTAGAACAAAACAAAACATTACAACACTGAACTGTCTCCCCAAAGGAATGCGAGGAAAAACTTTTAAGGGAAGCCTGGACCGATGACATGAGAGGAGAAAATTCTCTAACAGTCATGAGCAACGTATGTTTTAGAATCATCAATTAGAAAAGATGACCCTGGGGCAGCGTCTGTGGCTCAAAAGAGTAGGGCACTGTCCCCATATACTGCAGGTGGCGGGTTCAAACCCAGCCCGGCCAAAAAAAAGAAAAGATGACCCTGAAAAGAGCCTAATATGTAGACTCAGTTGAAGATGAGCTACATTACCTTCAGGAGGCCCATTTTCTCTGCTGAAGAAACTCTGCCCCATGGTCAGGTACCCAACTTTATCATGGCCATTTTTCCTGGACAATGTGAATCAAATAGTCCTGTGATTGCCACCAGGAAAAATGCAGCAACGTTTCACGTACAAAGCAAACAAGATGCTGTCCACATATGAAATGGCCAGGCTGAGACGCAGGAGGCTTACTTTTAGCTGGCCCTGGCTATAGCTCTAAACCTACGTTTGGTAACTGAACCACCCATCCTCTCTAGGTCTGTTCCCTAACTGTAACACTGAGAGACACCTAGATATCTCTAATACTTCACATGTAAGTTCAAAAAGTGAAGAAGAAAGAAATCACACAGGACCTCAGTAATCACACAAGTGAGCCTCTGAGCCCACGCTCATTACTCCACAGGTAAATATAAAGTTCCCCATAAGCCCGGAATTAGACCAGTTTTATTTGGAGTTGTCTCTACGTAATTAGTATGTGACTAGGAAACAGCATTAATGATTATGGGAGAGGATGTTTCTAAAGAAAGGCTTGCTACCAGTGACAAGAAGGGGTAGTTTAATGAAAGGAAAAGGATAACCTAAAACCAGATGTCAGAACCAGAAAACACAGTGATCGGTGGACTGGCTGCCATTCAGGCAAACAGCTTAAATACCTCTATCACTACATTATAGTGGCTCAATGCCTGGTGATTGTAATGATAACCCCTCAACCACCAAGAAAAATTGAAATTATGCTTGCTGTACTCTATCTAGTAAGGCAAGGAAACAGTCTTTGACTATTACCATTTACACATTTACAAAATAAACTTCAGCTATCTTTAAAAAAAAAAAAAAAAAAAAATCAAGCTAATGCCTAAGGGAATGTTGCCTTGTCAGATGAGAGGGGTCACTATAAAAGGCTATTGTTCTTCAGACAGTGAGTCAGTCATCTTTATACAAAGAGCAGAAATAAAGTAATAAAGTAAGGCCATGAAAGCCCATTCTGTGAACAAACTTCAAGTGCTGTCGCTTCCTTTACAGAACAAAGGAAAGAATATGATGAAAACTTCTTCTAACATAACTTTAAAAGACCCAGAACATTTGACAATATTTTCTAATATGATATTAGAAAGCAGGGCATCTGGTTAGAACAAAAGAATAAACAGTCTGAGTAGAATTTGTGGATTTTATTTTTTAAGCTTAAAAGTTGGTCATATAAAAAAAAAACTTTGGTTTTATCAGTGAATGTAAAAATCATAAACTAAATTTTTATATCCAAACATTGAATTATATGCTGTATTTCCGTGTGCACCACTGGTATTCAATAAATAACTGCTTTACACTTTGTTCTCTAGAAGAGAAACAGTGTGGAGCCGGCAGTTATTTTGACCAGATCATTTATCCAAATCCAGGAAAATTCTGGATTCTTTGATGTTCACAGAATCCTGAGATGCTCCTATTTACTTTACATGAAAACCAACAATATCAAACTGTTTCTTTTCAGAGTGTACACATTTTTTGTTTGTTTCAAAGTCTAAGAACTTTGCCAGTTTGTGTCATAGTGACATCATTACCCAAGGTAAATAGATTCACATAAAGGCTTTCCCTTGGGTCCCCAAGTCCTCAAAATACCAGGTCTCTCCAATAGTCTCTAACAGCACTCTTGAAATGGTTGATAGAGGCACTTGCAAGGCACCACAGGGCTAGCAATAAGTTACCAGAAGGTGTTTGTACTGCAATCAGTCAAGAGGTCACCTGCCTTTTGGGAAGCACCCTAAATATTCTGAGCAACTTTAATCAACGCTTATTCACCGTTCCCTGGGCCAACTGCCTGAAGCATGATGGAACCAGACTTTAGGTAGACTCCTTCCCTAAGGACAGGTCTTTAGCATACAGAACTAAATTTTGTTTCCTTCCACCTTCCTTAGGCTTAGTTTCCTTAATTTGTTTTGTTTTTCCACATACTAAAAGGGAAAAAGATTCTGGAAAAAGTCTCAAAACATATGGCAGATAAGATACCAACAAGCTAAAGACAGGCATTTCTACTCCATTACAACGACTGTAACTTATATTAAAATGCAGACTGTTTTGGGGGGAAAAAAAAAAGCCACACATCTAAAAAGATAACTTTATAAGAAAAGCCATTAGTCTGGTCTACCCTTGGGTTGGTTTAGCCTTTTGGAGTATCATGACAGCCAGCTAACCTCCCCATCATCATGTCTAGAGAAAACCACCAGTGCTGCACACCGCTGTGGTATGGTAGGGCTGGATTCAAGTAAGACTCACATCGTCAGATATTTTGGGTATTTCAGTAAAAGCTATCAAGAAGCAAAATATTATTTAGTAATTTGCACATCTGATCACAGTTCTAAGAAAAAGCTTTTTCTCAGGTTAATTGATGAACACCTCCCTGTTACGCTAAGCAGTCATATTCCTTCCATTTGATTTCCGGTCCAAAGAGATTCTATTACTTCCCATGGCCTCATGAGGAAAGCCCCTAAGATTATATCATCAGTACTTACATTCAGAGCATTCTTTGCAGCTTCTGCTTCTGAGCGACTGTCAAAACTGACAAAGCCTACGGGCTGAGGAAAGAAAGAGAAATATGAAGAAAAAAATCAGGGGACATCTATTTTTCTGGGTCAAGGGCGATGTCAAACTGAAGAGCTAAGATAAGGACATGACCACAAGCAATGGACAGAAACAAGAAAGCCAGTCCCAAAGAATGATGACTCAGTGGACTTAGCCCAAATTTCTAACACGAATCACAGGGATGGTGAGGGTAGTTCTTCAAGGGCACAGCTGGGGATTTAGAAAATCACAAAAAAATCTACAAGTGGCTGGAAGGTGAATAGCAGTGAACAAGGGAATAGAGGAAAACTTGGGTTGGAGAGGCTCTACTTTCCTAAATCAAATTCACTGTACCTCAGTTTCTTCATCTTTTAAAATGGAAAGAGAACCGAGTCACCTTTTGGTACACTGTAAGTGCAAGGAATACAATGACACAATGATAAAATCCCTGTACTCTCACTGTACGACCAAAATTACAAAGTGAACATTTCTGTGAGATCCCCGGGCATGTCTTAAAAAATCCTGTTCAATTAGGCATATAAAGCACCCTGCTCCAAGTAAACAGAAGAGAGGTCATAATCCCTTTGGACTCTATTATAATCTTTCAGCCCAGAAGTGGGCCTGCAACATAGCTTATTTCTGACGAGCCAGAAAGATGAAGAGTGACTGGGAAAGTGAGTAGGCCAAGTGTTCAGCTTTAAAAAATAGAAGGAAAAAAAAAAGCTTATAGCTAAAATCTCTAAGAAGCCTGTAGGACTATTAGAGCCACTGATTACCACTTCCGTTCTCTACCGTCTATGCTCCATTATAGACTTGGGACTCTGCCTGCTTAGGGATTTGAGAAACAGCGTGATTCTCCACCATCTGATACAATATTCACATCGACTGCAAAAGTATTAATGTTTAACCTCATCAAAAGCAAGAGGACAGGATTGGGAATAAAAGTGAATTTGGATAACAAACTATCATTTCCTTGGAACATACAAATCAGTTTCAACACACTTTGCTGGAGGCGCTGTTTTTGTCATCCTCTGCGACACTCTTAGAAATTCTAGCTGAAGACTATGGAATTAAGAGTCATTTTCCCGTGCTAATTCCTAATTGATCTCACCCTTAATTTTAAAGCCACATTAAAAAAACCCCAAATCCAAAGGGGAATAAAAAGAATGTTGAGCCCCGGTAACACTTCTGAGGAAAGGCAAAAAGTGATCTTTTATAGGCAAGTTTAAAATTCTTACCTGCTTAGACGTGAGTTTTATAAGAGAACCCTCATAGCCCTGAAAAGAAAAAGAAAACCAAGTTTAGCTAAGAGCACTAGAAAAAAAGGTAACTGCAGTACAATATTGCTCAAGTGAAAATAAATGCTTAATTATCAACTCTCTACTCTAGCCCTTCTCACAAATGCTTCTCACGTAAATGGGAATGCAAACAGCATACCACTCGTGCACACATGTGCCTGTTTCCTTCCAGAGGCCTAAGAAAAATAAATCAAGCCCCATGATTCATGCATTTATCTATGTTTTTCGTCCCTATATTTTTTCATGAAATTATGCAATGATAGAAAAATGGATGTTTCTGTCAACAGTAAGTCATTTTGTTTTCTTAATTTAGATAAGAATAAGCATTTTCATAAAACTTGGTGAGGGAAGGGGGTAAATAAGAAGGTCAGAGCTTCTGTTGACTTGGTTATACCTATGTTACAGAATAAAATCAATAAAACACTAAGAACATATAACAGGTGTAACTTACTGATCAAATTTTCAAGACTTCCAGAAAAGGTTAAGCAGGCAGTGTTAGTGAATTTTGCGGAATTCTTCTGCTTACGTATTGAAGCAGCCAATTTTCATGTTCGAATTCTGACTGGGACGTGCAAAAATCCTGCTGGGTTTTCACTCCAGCCCATCCTCAAGGTAGAAACACTCCCTTTCATGCCCTCTCTTCACCCTTCCTGGCTCCTCAGGATAAGGGTAACAAAATGTGTTTATTTCCTAAAATAATCAATAGCTGGTGGCTAGCACTGATGGATTACCCAAGACGGGAAAAAACACCACTTGACATGATTGACCACTACTCGTATGGGTGAAGAGACAGATTTGCAGACTCGGGTCAGCCTGCAGGGACTTTAATTAAAAGAGGGTTGTTAGGAACATACCAAGGTCCTGACGTGAGCATTGGGGTTTCTGGGCAGGATGTTGAGATTGATTCATCCTCCCATCTTACCAGCAGAGAACTATGTTACCAATTAGCTACTATAAACATTTTATTTACCTCAAAGGCCTTGAGCTCTTACAGCCAGAGAGGTCATGATTCATAGCCTGGCCTCTTCCTTATTTCAAGGTGCTCCCTTCTGCAAAACCTGGAGGTTTAAACACCCTGAAGGCCTTGAAGGCAAAGGACAAAAGGATATTTCACTCAAGGGAAACACCACTGGTAGGGATATACTGTATTCTCAAGTCACAAACAGAGAAGCAATTTAACAGTAACTCAGAACAGGGATGGCAGAGTCAGACTGCTGGGGTTGGAATCCTGGTTCTGCCCTTTACAGCTTTGGTGTGTAAATGTGAACACAATTCATTCAATTGTTCCAAGTTCCATTTTCCTGATTTGAAAATATGAGGCCAACCCACTTTAATGGACTGTGACAATAGTTAAATGAGATGATTTATTTAAGGGGCTTGCTGACGGAATCTTTCTATACATTTTAAAACTTAAATTTTGCCATTAAGAAACTCAACTAGCTTAAACACTCTTCATAAAAGGACAAAAAACACCTCTCTCATAAAACTGCAACTCTATAGAAGAAACACAGGAAATTCTATAAAAGTGGGCACTCTCTCCACAACTTTCTTTTCCTTTCCTGCTTCCTCTTAGCTGAACTCAGGCCTGCCTAACCTCTCTGTTTCCCCCTGTGCTGCTGTTATTGTTGCTGCATTAAGGGATGGCTGTCAGGTGCAATTATGTCCCATTATTACATGGCACACAAGCTAGACTGAGTTATCTTTGTTGGTTGTTAACTGGCTGCGTCCTCAATCCTCCCATTCTCCAACCCAGCGCTTTTAGCTGTCACATCCTATTCCCTCTTCCCTAAGAAGCTGAAGCCTGTTCCTTGACCTATTCAGTCTCCCTCCCTTGATGAATCCCACGCTTCAACAAGGATGTACCTTTAACCAGTAATCAAGATTGCCTAATTCTAAGTGTGGCCCATGTCAGGCACTGCTGCTGACACATCCACACTGACCACTGAGATCTCCTACACCCTGGCCCTGAATTCATTATACCTTCAGGCCACGTTGTTACCCACTCCAGTGTTCTTCTATCTACAAAGGCCAACCAGGTCAACCTGCAAGGTTCTCTTTTCTTTTAATAGAGACAGAGTCTCATTT